AATATTTTAAAGAAAAATAAATTAGCACAAAATACTGTCTCAAATATAAAACAAATATTTTTAGTTTTAAGAATAACTGAAACAGCAAAATATTTTTTTTTTTTAATATTTATAAAAATTTAAAAGATATTATAAGATACTATTGTTAAGAAAAGTAAAAAAATTATATAATATATTAGTCAATAAAGTTTAAAATGTAATCACAAAATTCATTGATATATCTATTAATGTTGTCTTATATAACTACAGACAAAATAATAGTGTTTTACAAATTTGATTTCATTTTTATAGTCCAGAGCTAACTATTAGATCAATTGTCGTATTATATTACGTGTAGTGCTTTGCCATTACAGGTATGCTATGTTATCATAGATGTTATGTACGTATATTTTAGACTACAATGACATTTGCGGGAGTGGTATGAGTTGCGTAACGGTGTTTTGGATCAGATATGTATGAATAACTGACAAATAATTAAATTGTTTGACACACAGACATATTAAACTTGTTTCTCAATCAAACATTTGTTATATATTGATTTGAATATTTAAAATTTAGTAATTTGATTAGATCATAAAACATTAATAAATATATATTTTATACCTTATAAATACAAACTTTATATTATAAATAACTAATAACTATCGGTCTACTACTTTATAGTTTATATTTGTATTATTGTATTTACAGAATATGACAGAAAATGGTCAAAAAAAGTAATATAATACAGATAATATAAATAATAATTTATAATTAATATAATAAGCATTTACAATATAAGTTTCAGTTTCTCATTTAGTAAAGTTATTTTTTTATTATTTGTTTAAACAGTAAATTATTACAAATTAAAGTTTTTTTTGTTATTAACACAATTAGACAATAAAATAAATTAACAATCTATAACAACAGCATCTATTTTCTATGTAATAATTCAAATTCATAGCAATTTATAAAAAGATTTTGTAATTTATTTATTAATTATTTACAAATGTTTACTGCTTTCACTGTAACTTTAAATCAATGCTTGTTTAACACAATTTTTTTTATAAGTAAACCATTAATTTGACCACAAATGCAATCTAAATTTGAGTTAAATTATATAAATTACTTGTATTGTATCAGTTAATGTTTTGTAGGTATACATACAGTTTCGCATTACGTTTACTACTAATAAAATAAATTCGACATTTAAATTATATAATTAATAAATATTGTTATATAGATTTTTAAAATATTTATTTTTATCAAGTAATTTAAATAAAACACATTAAAACAATATTTTTCAAATGATAATTAATTTAATTAATTAATTCTTGAATTTTGTTAATTTTGTTAATTTTATTTACGTAGTCCATATAATATAAAAATGTATAACAATTGAAAAAATTCAATAAAATTAAAACTTATTACTTACTTTAGTGTTATCGAATAATTGACAAAAAAGTAGTGGTTTATATTAAATATGTATAAAAGTTTTAAGCTAGGTCAACTAAATTTATGTACATCTATTAATTTTTTGTCTAATAAGTACAGTATAAGTGCAGTTGCATAATGTAGTATTAATTAATAAAGCAATTGATTTATACTATCTAAACGAGAACTATGTCATATTATATTTTTATTTAATTATTATATTATATTTTTAAAAACTAAAATAGCCAGATATCTGGTTATATTTTGTAGTTTATTAAATATAATTAACTAATTTTTTATTTTGCTTAAACTTTGGTTTGACCAAGGTTGATAATTTTTCATATAATTTTTATAAAATAACTAGACTAGACCATTTTGTCAATAATTTTTATAAATTCAAATGTGTTATCAAATTCAAAATTTAATGCAAACAATAATCTTAAAGTCAGATAATTGTTGTAACTTTTATCCAAAACCAAAACCGAATGATTTAAATCTATCAAAATTTGATTTTGAATATACCGTATATATAATTTCTATAATTTCTACAATTGATAAATTATATACAGTATATTTAAAATCAAAATAATTAAATATTCTATACATATGCAATAGACCATAATAATTTTATATTATGCTTGTCTAGATCTAAAATTTTGATTAAATCACAAATAAATAATTAATTTTGTTTGTATTTTTGGTATTTTAGAGAAACTGTATAAATATCATTCAGAAAATTTTTATTGTATTATTATTAATTGAGATAGACAATTTACAGTATATAAATATCCTAAAAATAGTAACCAATATTTATTTTAATTAATATTGTTATAATATAACATTTATATAACACTATGATTTAGCATATATTCTATATTTGTTTTATAGATTTTCATAATTGGTATATTTCTAAATCCTACGCTTTTTTACTACAAAATATTATTAATTACTGTATATATACATTATATTTTACATAATGTTATATTTATTATTATTTTGATTTTTCTATTATTTATTTTTGTTATTTAATTATATATATATACTGAATATATATACCTGAATGAATAATGTTTTCAGTAATTTAATATATGCTATTTAATTTATTAAATGGGAGCATATTTTAAAAAGTTTTTATTTGAAAATTAGTTTACTAAACTTTTATAACAATAACTACCAGTATATGGTTTATACTTTTTATTTGAAAATAGATTTATCTGAAAACACAAGAGCTTTAAAATTATTAAAAATTATGATATAATTTTATACATTTAAATATATTTTTATTATAAAATAGTGTTATCAAAACATTTTTTTAATTGTTTATTTAATATAATTTTAAGCAACTTTTATTTTTGCATATTTTACATATAAAGTAATTATATAATAGTAGAGTTAAAAACTCTTTGAATGTTGATTTTCAAGGAAATAAATTAAAACGAATTGCAGTAAAAATAATAACAAAAATAATTTTTATTTTTCATTATTTTTATGTTATAACTCTTTAATCTTATACTCATATCTCTAACTCATCCTTACATTTAGTATTTAATATGTTTATGAAATTGTGATATTTAGTTAAAATTATTTAAATATTGTTGTGACAAATGTGATGTCAAGAATTTTATTTTAAAATTTATATATTGTTTTATTTATTAAATCATAAAAACATTGCTATTTATAGAATATATATTTGAATACCATTTAACTAAATTTATTGTTAAAATAAGTAATTTTAAATCAACAATAATTTATGTCTCAATCAAATAATATATATAGCATTTAGACATTCAATATATTTTGTCCGCTGTATTAAAGTTGAATATTATATTAACCATAGCATCAAAACCATATGTGAGGACTATGAGGACAGGTATGTAATCAGATATTGTGTGAAGTTATAACTAATTGAAATTATATACAGATTTTATAGGTATATATCAAGATATTTTATAAATAAAAACAAAAGATATATCAATAGTAATAACAATTATTGTTATAATATTCAATACTATTATAATATAATAATAATAAATATCAATTAAATATTAAGATATACTTATTTTAATTATTAACATATTAATGGTTAACCACATGATGTATAATCTGTATGTATTCTAATAGAGTATTTTAACATTTTAAAAGTAATTATATAACTGATGCATACATTGTATTAATTTGTAGAAAATAATCTAAAATAACAATTAGATTCAGTATTGGATATCAGTATAACACAGTGTATGGTTTATGGTGTAGTCATTTGGGAGAGTATTAGATTAGATAAATACTCGACTTATTAGTTTATATTAAATATATGATAAACCATAAATTCAATATAAAAATGACCAATCACATTATTATAGATAATATTAAACTCAACATTATTGTAATTGATCATTTTTTTATTAATTGTAAAATTAACTAGATAATAGTCAACTATTCTATGTCGATGCTATTATCTAGTTAACTTTACAATTAATCAATAATGACGAATTACAATAATGGTCAGTTTAATATTATCTATATTTAAATTATTAATTTAAACATTTAATATTAAAATTGTCCATGTTCATTTTAAAGATAAGAGATTACTTGTTCAGACTTATTCTAGTTTTTAAATTAAAAATTTTAATACACTATCCGATTGTAAATTTTAAAATTTATCCGAAAATACAACAGACAAGACATTTATATTAAATAACAAATAAATTTTATTTAATTATTTAATAAATTAAATGTTTATTTAAAAAGTTTAGAAGAGCTTAACGTTATAATGTATTATACTGTATATAACAATGTTTATGTTATTTACAATGTCTAACAATATCTATCTTAAAATATATATTTATATTTATATTTTATAAGTTATAACTATAATATAAACTATAGGTTATAATACATAATTTGTGATATAGTGTAATAAAAAAAATTAGTAACATGTTTTATAAAATTATTGTCTCCAATTGAAAGTCAATATTAATATTATAGAGAAATACATAACATTTATTAATAAATCATATTATTATATTGCATACAATATTGTACTGTACTATGCTTTATAGTACAGTACAGTATAGCTTGCAATAAATAAAATAAGTTAAATAAACTAAATTATAGTACAGTATAGTATAGTACTGTATAGTGCGCTAACATTTAAACCAATGTTTGAATGATAATAAAAATTGTAAAATTTGGACATTTGTTGAAATATTACATAAATTGCTAAAACATTAGAAATACATTAGAGAGGGTTTTAAAGTTTAAAGCACTCAAATATGTGCCTCTTTATTGTGGGGCTCTTTAGTTAAGAGAAGTTATAGCGATTGAATTTTAGAGGACAGGGAGGCAGACATTGACTGATATTATAGAGAGAAAGAGAGTACAACTATTACCGTAGTATAGGATTTAAATATAGTGTACGCTATAGAGTGTACGCTATAGAGTTCACGTATACAACAACACTGTTTACAACACATATACAGTTCACCAACAGTTCACTGGAGAGACAATACACTGTTTGAGAGTAAAACATACAATATATAGCACTTATAGACATAACAGTCAACTCATAGTTTTAGGGGAGTGTTCTCTATGTTTATTATAGTACAGCATATGATTGAAGTCAAGCCATTACTACATACTATCATATGAATGCAATACAACTATATAACTGTTGCATTATTTTCCAAACATACTGTATGTTGTAATTTATGTTTATGTTTAGGACGTTATTGTTGTGAATGAATGGCATTTAAAGTGAAACACAAAAACTTTGTGGTCTTCGCTGTGTTTGTATTGAGAGTGAAGAGAGAGAGAGAAAGAGAGAGAGAGAGAGAGAGTGACTGAGAGAGACATAGAGGGAGAGTGAGTGAGAGCTCAAGACATAGACATACAATGCTATTGATGGAGACCACTGTCGTCGACTACATCCATGAAGAGATTATCACTGATTGTTCCGGCGAAGAGATTGTCACCGATTGTAGCGAAGAAGTCAATAGCAATCAGAGCGACAGTGGATGTGATGTCACCGATAGTGCCGACATTCATGTGGACACTGCCATTGCCATCGATGCCATTAATGACGCGACCGACGACACGGTCAGCACTGATGGCAGCAATAGTTGCGCCAACAGTCACACACAGGACAGCACCGATGATCACATTATTGACTCAACTTCGGTGAGTTTTGTGTGCAAATGGACTCATTGCGATTGGCCCGGAAGTTATGACGATCTGGTCGATCATATCAGAGAAATACACGTCCAGTTGCAGCCCTATCAACAACAAAGACATAATTGGAGAGAACTCAAGTGCAACAAATCGGGCCATAAGTCGACCACTTCTGACAAATCAGACAATTACTCACTCAAGACTCAACACTATGTCTGCCTTTGGGAAGGCTGTAAAGTGTATGGAAAGGCATCTCTTTCAAGGAATTGGTTGGAACGACATGTCTTAGAGCAACATTCAGGTCCGCGACCTTTCAAATGTATTGTTGAGGGCTGTGGCCAACGGTTCAAAGTACAGTCGGCACTCGAAAGGCACGTGAACTCACACTTTAAGCCCGTGGAGTATGCGTCCAGCAATTGGTCTTCAGATGGATGCTGTACGTCATGTTGTCCGGCAAATGCTAGCGCCGCACAAGTGTCCAAACAGTCGTGTTGTGCCGCACCTTCTTCTAGTGATATTAGTAGTAGTAATAGTAGTAATTGTGTGCACTCTATACAACAAAAGTTGACGCCATTTGAGTTGCATATACAGCAGACATCCCGGGCCACGATGTCTGCCGGTGCCGCCACTGCCAGTAGTGTCAACTGTAAATCATCGTCTCTGGACTCTAACAATAACAATACTTGTCATCATTACTCGGCATCCATTAATGGCTCCAATGGTACGCCCAATAAAATACTTAAACGCCGAAAGTCAGCCACAAGACTGAAACGAAAATGTTTTTACGGTATGTCTTCACATAATTATATAAATTTTAATCAATTTATTAACAATACTCTAAATTTCTTAAACAATTAGTTAAATGTAGTGAAGATTTCTTTGACGAAAGTGTTATGGAAAGAGTGAGATATGGTTTGATTCAATTGAACCGTAAGACTGGTCTCGATATTAATGGAAATCAGCCGACAATTACTTTTCATAGCAAAGTAAGTCAACGTTTAAAATATATTTATATAAAAAAATTGTTGTATTTTGAGATTTTGAATGATTTAAATAAATTTATATATTATTTATCGAAACATATTTTTAATAAAAACTGATTATAATTTTAAATGATATGATTAGGTCATCGCTCGTCGTGAGAATGATAGCGGAGAAGTGAATGTACTGTTAAATTGGGAACCAAATAATATGTAAGTCATTTGGTTACAAGATTTGTCTCAATTTTCAAATTTATTATAAATTAATTATACGATACTTAACATACATATTATTTCTTAGTATATAAGTTATAATATACAACAATATTAGTGCAATAATGAATATTTGTATATTTAACTTTAATTGCTATTCAATGATTTATATTTTCAAGTGATCCATAAATAATAAATTATTATTAATAAATATTTATATTAAAAATGATGAAAAACAGTTTTAAAACATTAATCAAACTGATTATATGAATTGCAATTATTTAATAATTTTTTTGTTTACTTAATAGACTGCCCGACGTCTGGGTGTCCGAAAAACAGGCGTCGAAAATGAAGAGTAAATCTGTTCCGATGTCGACAATACCACCGCATAGTTTGGAACAACTCATTGAAGAAACCAATGGGTTTGAGAAGAAACCAAAGATTAAACAGAGACGCAAATGATTGGATGAGTTAATACTGTTAAATGAATTAACAATAATTTACTTTTTACTATCTTTTTGATTGTGTTGTCCTCCAATTGTTTCAAATTTTACACATGTGTTATACAATATGTGAATTTTCACTAAATATTTATAAAATAAATTTGCGATAATCGAGAGCAACACTTTAATTACTTTAAATAATGAAAATGCAGTACACATTTTATATTTATTATAATTTATATAAATTATTTATATGCTATTTAATTCAATTATTTAACTTAAATTTACAAAAAAAAATTGTGTAAATTATTTCGCTCTTTTCCCGTTAGGATATGAAGGAATTTTTGATATCATTTTGAAATATTTTTAAATGTTAAAAATATCAATTGTTGAAATATTCTAATTCTACAAAAAAAAAATTAATTACAAACTACAGCTACTTTTGTAGCAAATTATTATATTTAAAAAATATTTATTATTATATAAACATTTATATAATTAGTTTTCTCTTAATTTATATTTCACAATGAATTTTGGAACACTTATCTAAAAAACCACATTATTATTGAATACATAAATTTATATTTTAATATACAGTCAAATGACAAAATTGATGAATATTAACGGTTTTTGTGTATAACTTAGCGGTAATGATAATAACAAAATAACTAATTTTATTTGATACTAATGTTTTATGGAACTATTACATTGATTTTATTGTTTTATAAGATAATAGCATGGTCATATTAAAGGGAGACTTATTATATCTTGAAAAACCAAGAGATCATATCTATAAATACATTAATAAATGCAATTATAATATAAGTTAATAGTTTACTAATAATATTAGTTTGATTGATATAAAACACAAATTCTAATGTTATGACTAATAAACTTTATTATATATAATTATCCATTAATTGTATTTTTAAATTCTATTTTTATTACAATAAGTCATTTATTCGTAAACTACGAAATGATATTAAAATTGCATATATTATTAATCCTTGATTAATAATAATCAGTTATTTACATATTTTAAATATCTCATAGTTTTTAAGATACAACTTTCTCTTCTCTAATATGATTATACTATTTTGTGGAAAAGTCTATATAATTGTTCCCATTGTATAAAACTGGTACTAAATAAAATTTAGCATTATTGAGTTATACTAAAAAATTATTCTTTAATTTTTTCACTGACTGTATATGTATATATATATATATATATATAGTTTTTATTTATTATATTTTGATTTATATTTCAGAAAATTGTTTTATTATATTGAAACCAATGCTAATAGATCGCCCATCACTGGGCGCCACTGCCAACATACATATATATATACACACACAGGTGTATGCCTACATTTATATAATAATGTATCCTAACATTGACTCAAATAAAGTTTACAATTGTATTATTTAATTTTAAAATCTGCTAATTGTTATTATTATTAATACAAGTTTCAATATATAGTATATTAATCAATTTAATCGCAGATTGATATCTATTTATCATTTTTTTGTAAATAAAAAAATTATTAATGAATTATTAAATGGAATATTTAAATACTATTTTCTACTGTAATGCTATATTTATGTCACAATCATTAGAATAATGCATATTTCAAAATAGACCAAAATTTTACGAATAATACAATCTCTAATAATAAAATGATAATAATTTTTATTTTTCAAATAATATACAATTTATTGCAATATTTATATTATGCAATTTAGCAATAAAATGTAAGGAACATCAAATATTACAAAATATCACATTTTCTGAATTAATAAATATATTTAAATCTAATGGTATTTATAATATAAAATAAGTGTCACATAATTAAAATATATCATAATTTTATGTGATATATCTTTAAATATATGAATGTCTTGACAAAATTGGTTATCGTTTTAATTTTTTCTCCATTTTGGCTAATCGTCTTTTTTTTGCTATCATTTCATACAAAATTTCGAGTCCCTCATCGAGACCCTCACCAATGATAGCACAGGCAGGTTGAACGTGCCATTGATGTTGAGATAATTGTTCGCTTAGACCCAACATTTGGGCCACTTCTTGGGGGTCTTTGGCTCCGGGGAGGTCTTGTTTCTATATATCATATAAAATATAATTACTTAATTATATTTAATTAAAATAACATATTTATCAATTATCAAGTCATTTCATTTTTTAATATTAGTTTTAAGTTATATAAAAACAAAATAATATAGAAATAAATAAAATAAAAACAATTTGATATACGTTTTAAAATAAATATTTATCCCAATATTTTTAAATTAAAACAAAAAGTCAATAATATCTAACTTTTTGTACTAACTTTAAACAAAAACTTAAGTTATTATTAACTCCTGAATCAGGTCTCATGATTAACCTTTTGAATAAAACAGAGGCTGAGGAGGTGTTTAAAGGTTTGGTCATAATATTGTTTATATAGCAATCAAAAACTTGAAACTATGGGACATTTCTCATTACATTTGTTGAAACATAAGGTTAAACTTTATACTGTATTTAGTTCAATGTAGGGCGGGGTTGGGTTTGGTGTAAATTTGTAATAAATGATTGAAAAATATTATAATTAACTAACGAATGGGTTATATTTATTAACGATTATAATAACAATGCATTTGACTTACATTTGCTAAGACTAGTATAGGAACGCATGAATTTTCCGGTGACTTAGCGGTCCTCAAGAGCTCTATCTTCGCCTCTTCCATCCTCTCGTCATCGACTGAGTCGACCACAAAAACTATACCATCCGTACAGCGGGTATATGAGCGCCATAGGGGTCTCAATTTGTCCTGACCTCCGATATCCCATATAAGAAATGATGTACCCTTTAAATGACAAATATTTTAAACTTATAATAATTAAATTATAAAAATTAATATCTTAAGTAAAATAAATAATAAATTTAAGTTATAAAAATATACTTATATATAATTCAAAAATAAATTATTAGTTCATAATTAAACAAAGCATTTACTTTTTACATAAATAATTTTAACCAAACACCTTGAATACAAATTTAATTATTAATAACATTAATACTTTTCTACAATAAATAATTTTAAAATTATGAAATATTTTTCGTCTAATATAAAATGTATTTATTCAAAAGTTATAATTTAATAATTTCGACATTTATAGATTTAATTATAGCAATCATAAAATTATTTTCCTATTATAATACTATTATATTATAATTTATATTATTATATTAAAGTACTTTTGATCATAAAATTATCATTTCTATCAATAAAAGTATTGAATAATTAAGAGTAAGGGGAAAATTAGAGGAAATTTATTAAATTGTAAACATGTGATTATCCGGTTGATTGAATTTATTGTTAATTTATCCAAAATAATTCAATTATTTTATGCTATTTTTGATATTTTCACCCATTTTGTGAACACAAATAGTTTTAAAATAAATCTTAAACATACTATACTCTACTATAAGATATATATATGAAAACATTGTCAGATGAGAGATTGAGATAAGAAATTATAAATAAAACATTTGTTTTGTTTATTATTGTAAACGAAAAGACAGAAAACATTTGCTCGAAAATTGTTGTAATAGTTATTGTATTACTAATATATGGCTAACAATATTGAAGTTTATTTAATATTAAAATGTTTGTTATATCCGCAAATGTTTTTCTAATTCATTCAATATTTATTTCAAGTTTTATTTATTATGATTCCTTGAATTTCTTATTTTTCGCAAATAAAATGGCATTTAATTTACAAAAACCATATACAGTATAAAATAATAAGTATTCAATTGGCAAATACTAGGAATCAATATTATTAACATCACATTCAGTTCTAAACATTATTATATAGCTTTTCATTATATTTCTGATTATTTGTATATAAATAGCAGTTTTGTTCAAAATCAAAGTCAAAGTCAAGTAATTTCTCTCATAAATATCTACTGTATTATAAGTTTTCAACAGTTATGCAGACTAAAGTATTAATATAAATATATAATCTATAGTCTCAGTCTACCGTATATACTAGTAGTACATATATTATTATATAATACTGTAGTTATACTACATTACAAATTGTTTTTACAATAGACAAAGAAATTTTAGTTTTTATAGTTTTAAACTATTTTTTTAAGTTACAGAAAAAAATTATCGGAAAGTTTAAAATTATTTTATTATATTTATAAAATGTGACTCATTATGAATGACTCATGTAATTCATGTGAATTGTTTTACTATATTAATATTAATTTATAAGTAACTTATTAATTATTATATTATATATTTTTTATTTTAGGTCACTATAAAATGTTTGTAACAATATATTAGATATCACAATATATCAGATATACATGAATAACATGTCAAAAGTCACAAACTATTTTAAAGTACTATTTCATAATAATAATACATTATAAAAATATAACCACTTTTTGTAGACATTCCTAACTTGTAATCCCCTTTTGAGTGTTTATACAACAAGAAGATTGGTATTTGTAAAAAATAAATATATATTTTTTAGTCATTTCCTCAAAACAAACCAAAGTTGTGTGATTTAAAAAAACTTTGAACTTTATTTTAAAACTATTTTCTCAATAAAAACTAAATAATTTTTGTTTATAGAATATTTGAAATGGTCTTTACATTATATGATAGATTATTATTTTTTATTTTTTATTTTCAGTAAATAAAAATATAAAAAATAAATTTATTATATAAAAATCATTATTTTGCCATTTTTGTCTTTTTTAATATTTTAGGACATTTGAAATAAATAGACATTTTTATGATGATTGTCGTTCAATTGAAATATATTTTTAAAAATAAAGCATTTATTAGTTCAGGTGCATTATTGACCATTGTTACAATTATATTAATGGTTATACAGTAATACACAGTATATTACAATAAAAGTTAATAAATTTATTTGTCAGGATATATACCGATACAATATATATTTAAAGTATATATATATTCACAATATTTACATTTTTAAGTTTATAATAGAAATATCTAATAATATTAATGAATGGATAGTTCAGTAGTATGTATTGAATGAGGAACTGAACCGTCAGAATGTTAATGATATTTGAAATGCATTTTGAATATAAAACTAGAAAAACAAGTCAAAAGTCAACAAAACATTAATATAATGTGTATTTAAATTTATAGTACTGTATAATATTATATTTTATACCATATTTTTATTTTTATATAATCTCATTTCATTTACTCTTTTACCGGTAATATTATATTTAATAATTAGTATATTTGTGATAAACAGATAATTAAACAAATGTCTAACAAGTGTTCAAACAAAAATTCTGCAAATTTTATCTAATTATTAAAATTAAATTAAAAAACAAATTAAAATTTTATTAAAATAATACTATATTTGAAATTTATAAAATATGCAATTTAATAAAAAACTAATTAATAAAAATTTTACTTATGACAATACTGTATTAAATTTACTATGATATTTTAATTAATCAATAAGAAAAATATAATTACAAATAGTTGTATACAAAAAAATCTAGACAAACCATCTCTCTCTCTCTCTCTCTCTCTCTCTCTCTCTCTCTCTCTCTCTTTGTCCAGTTATAAAAAATATGGTTTAGTGAACTGGTACAGTAAGTGTGTGTTACTGTTATTTGTAGACCAATGATTAAGTGTGGGAACCAATGATTTAAGTGAACCGAGAAAACCACTGGTCTATCATTGAAAAGCTAAAAATAAAGGCACATAAAACCAGAGACATATGAAAAGCACTGAAATATAATCTTAAGTGTCTTGAAATTTGACGCCAAAAACAGTCTTTTAAACTATAATAAAGACCATTGGAGTTATCGATATTATATCACAATAAGTATTATATAAATCCAAACACAATCATTGCGAGTAATTTTTATTAATCTTTCACTTCAAGTGATTATACTTTATAAATGTTTTTTAAATAATAGTTTTGTTAAATTTTAAAATCTTAATTAATAAAACATTTAAAATGTATGTTAACTATAAGTAGATCGTAAATACATCAAATTAATTTACTTAAAATATTTCAAAACTATGATTTATTGTAAACTTAATTATGAATATTAAATAAAATGTAAAAAAATAATTTACAAAATGTTATCGAATAAATTCTCATTTAAATCCAAAATATCATTAAATTTAAATATAATAAACAAACAAAAAACTAAAGGCGTTAAATAAATAGACTAATAATAATAATTTTTTAATATGAATAATAGGTTTTCTGTGTTATGAATGAAAATAACAAAAAATACTAATAATTTGTAATTTAAATGTATCGAGTCTTGAATTTTTGTTAATTTTTTAAAAATTAACACATTGTAGTCAACATAAACATAAATATATTTAAAAAGATAATTAAATAATATTCTTAAAAAATCAAATTAATATTAGATACATATTTGGGCAAAAATAAACTAAAATTGTACAATAAAACGATTAAAGTTATATGTAAACTTTGAAATACTATTTAATTAATTATTTGTACATATTTCAATTCAAATTTATAACTGATTATCATAAATAATATAAATAAATAACTACCGTTAATATATTAAAATTATCAAAATAAAATTTTAGTTAATTAAAAATGGGATGAGTATTATATAAATGCATGAGTGAAATAAATGTAATTTTCAAAAAAACATACCTTAGCTTTACCACTATGTGCTCTGACTTTTTCACAATTAAATCCAATTGTGGGAACAGTATTTAAATATTGGTCAAACTTGAGTCGATACAGTGCTGTTGTCTTACCGGCCGAGTCTAAGCCCAACATAACTATATGTAAATTATTAGAAGTCGGCAATGAGTCCAACAATGAATGCTTTCCACTCGATATACTCGAACCCATTGTCTATATATTAATCAATTTATTGCATAAAAAATCCCAATTCACACAACTTTTAATAACTAAATGTTTTCACATAAAATATTTTGATTATTATTATTATTATTATTAGCACTATTGTTGTTATTACTGATAAATGACAAACTCTTTGATTATAAAGACATTAATATTTGATTGTATAATACATTGTCTATTATTTTATTATTACACAATTAAAAAATAAATAAGACATTAAAATTGCAATATTTTACATTTATTGTGTTCATAAAAATTATCACATTTAATATAAACAATTCTTAGCTTTAATGGTCGAGTATAACAAAAACTAATAATAAATTTCTATTAAATTTTTGTTTTAAAAACATTTTTTAGACATGAATTATTTTTTCTCATAATTTACGATATAATTAATGTTAAATTAATACTTAATGCCGACAATCAACAACTTCCGTAAAAACTTGTGTTATTAATGTTATTGCTATTAATCGATGAATTGATTATTAATTTAGTCAATATTTTTATAATATAAACATATTGTCATTTAATTCAACTATCACTTATGATCGTAAATAAGTTGATATTATATATGGCACAGTCGGCTATGATATAAAAAATAAATATAAAATTAATTATTATAATCAATTTCAATTGTTTTATTATTTATATATTCAAATTATATATTCTGATTTATATAATTAATAAAATAAATATTGTACTATTAGATAGTATAGTTATTCTATTAAAAGTGATAAATAAAAACTCAAAACAATTATATTATTGAAAAATAGTTTGAAAATATAGTGTATTTTTCAGAGTATCTGTAATTGTTTATTATAATATAATTATATAACACAAGTTAACAATCGCTACGAAATTAGATCACTTGAATTGGATTACAATAATGTACCGGAATTAAGGTACAGTATATATATATATATATACTGTATATAAGTGACACAAACACTCATTTTTATTAATTTTATAAAATCACAATTTCCTTTGTTTTATAGTATTTATTGTTATTATTATCTAAAATATATTCAAATCGTGTTTTGTTAAATAAAACGTGCATTACTTGTGTTTTTATTTTTTAAGTGCTAACGTGTAAATATATTTGTTTTTTACCATTATATAAATATAATAAAATATTATATTTAATATTGTATTGCAAATACAATAAAATAAATCTTATATTTATTCGTTTATCCCATTCTTTGCGTAAAAATATTATAAATATTATACAGTATTTAGTTTAAAATAAACTCCAAGAATAGCAGTGAAACAAGTTTTTGTAATTAGCTTTTTGATTGACTTATAAATTATAAGTAAAAATACTAAATTATTACTGTAATATACATTATTATTGATACATTACATAATTTTTCGCTATTTATGCGATCATGCATTGCGATAAAAAATGGTTTCATTTAAAAATCTTTTATATTTTAAATAAATTAATTGTATTTTGAACCGAGTATTCATATAATACAACACAGACTATTGTATTATATAATACAATTGCAATACAAATAACAAATTATTTAAACATATAATTAATAATATAATGTATTTTATTTAATATTGGTGTAAAAATTAATATAAATTTATGAATAAAATAAATAAAATAATTTAATAAGGGTTGTATGTTATTGAGTTATATTGAATAAAATACAAAATAATATTATTAACTAAAATAATTATAAACAAGATAATAAAATAATAATAAAATTTCATACAAAATAAGTTGAATAACTATTGAATAAAATTAAGATTTCATATATTTTTAATGTTCAAAAATTGTTGTATATTTAGAGGCAATGATATAACAAAATTAAATATATGCTTATATACAGTATATATAATATTATTATACGGTATGTTTGTATTGTATATTATATTAAATTAAGAGAAAAAGCGCGAGAAAACAGTAACAAACTGTTTGTAATTTGTTAGTCTCAGACATTATCAGACATTATTTGAGAGGCACTCCAGTGTATAGTTTGTGTACAGTAATAGCACAGGTATGCAGTCAACAGTTTCAAAGAAATTGGTTATTGTCTAATACATTGTGGGCTGTTTAAGACCTAAAGCTATATACTGTACAATATTATGAGGCACCGGGAGTTTTTAAGGAGAGGGAGAAAGAAAGAGAGAAAGCAGTATATTTTGAATATATCAAAACACAGGTGTATGGACAGTGAATATATATATATATATATATATATATATATTGAGGAAAGAAAATTGGAAAGGGAATGGTATGAAGAGAGAATAGCACAGTTTGCTGGTCAGTGCCCGTACACTATGACTATACAGTAGTTTACAACAAAAAAGTTTTTATAAGAAAAACTCAGTCAAACATTTTGTATACCGTTTACAATATACTCATAATTGATGACAGCTTTGAAAAGTTTGTGGGAAATTATTTTTAAATAGTTTTTTCAAATTTAATATTTTCAAATAACATTTAAGACAATACTTACTAATTAGCAAATATATAAGTAATGTGAACAACAAAATGATTTAATCAAACATTAATATATTGAACGAGTAATCAATGAAATGATTAAAAAATGAAACAAAACTCTAGTTATATCTGACTTGAGTTATGATCCAACAGTTCCTTAAACTTGATAATCAAAGCACAGGTTGACTATAAAAAATGATTAACAACAACAACAACTGCAATACAAAACTTGTCTCAAACTTTGCTGTCGTAATACCGGTCGTCCCCTTTAAATGCAGACAAACACTACTCATGAAATGTGAATTGCATTCAACTGATGGACCGTTCCCTTACACTGTAAGGCTTACAGTGCTATCGCAACGTTCATTGCAATGCAATTCAATTTTACAACATTACAGCCCTCTGTTTGAAAGAAAAATTAGCAAAAGTCAACAGAAATATTATTAAACTATTATATAATATATAATATATATCATAATATGATACAGTAGTACTGTATAATGTAATTTAACTATACATTTGTTAATACACTTGTATTTACTTTAATCGGTTTTATAATCAATTATAACAATATGATTTAGTGTTAGTATTGAAATACAAATAAGTTTTAACTAATTATAACAAAATAACACAATCTTTTATAATTTGTACAAATAATATATGTATTTATTAAATAGTTAAGTATTGATTAAATATATTGTACAATGTTTGGCAATAGCTATTTGATGTATTTAATATCTATGAATTTAATTTAATAAAGTTTTTAATCATTTTTAATCATTTACAGAGAAAACTTAGAGAAAAAAATATATTTATTTAATAATAATTCTTAATATATGTCAATCGCCTAAATAAACATAGAAACAACATTTAACTAAATAATGATGAATAATGTAGTTTATGTTATATATTATTTGAATATAATTAAGTAAATTTGGGACAAATCGATAAACTTTTCTGACAAACATTTAGTTTTTGTCAGCAAATATTTTGTAAATTTCTTGAATGTTATCTATAATAATATCATTTATCTATAACTATCTATAGCAGGGTTGCTAAAGGGGGGGGGGGGGGTAGGGGGGGGGGGTAAGACGTCTTACCCCCCCCCCTGAGATCGAGAAATTTTGGCTTTTACCCCCCCTGGCCTGAAGCCAGAAAGTTAGGGGGCCCCCTACTAATTTTCGGCGCCGAAGGCGCCGAAAATTTTTTTCAATTATGTAAAATTTTATATTAAACAAAAAAATAAATATTAAATTAGTTTTAATATAAATTAATAGCTTATGTATAGAAAATAAATAGATAAAAATGCTTAATTACATCAATTTAACATTATTTACACTAGTTAGGGCACTCCACAAGCTAAAAAATAAATTCCCACCAAATTTTCAAAAAAATTAATGATATTTTATTTTATTTATAGCTGTTTATAAAAGATAATATATATTTTATTTCTTATTAAAAGTCGAAAACTAAGATTTTTAGCATAAATTTTAAAATAATTATATTTTAATATTTTTAAACTTTATATTAAAATTTGTTAGTTATGTGCTTTAAAAATAATAATAATAATATTAACTAAATATTACATAAATAGAGTTGGGGCACTCCACAAGGAAAAAAGCTCCCTAATAAATTCCCACCAATTTTCAAAAAAAATAATCAAATATTTTATTTTATTTTTTAGCCTTTATAAATGATAATATTTATATATATTATTTCTTATTAAAAGTAGAAAACAAATTTTTAGCATAAATTTTAAAGTTATTATATTTTAATATTTTTAAATTTTATAGTAAAATGTGTTAGTTATTTTTCAATATGAAATACTATGTAAAAAAATATTCTTAAATTAATTATTTAGAACTAATTATTTATTTCTGACAATTTTATTATTATTATTATTAAAACGTTTTAATAAATACAGTATTAAAATGTGTTAGTTATGGTTCAATATAAAATACTAAAAAAATATATATTTTTAAATTAAATTAATTATTTAGAACTAATTAATAATTATTTCTGCCAATTTTATTATTATTATTATTAAAACGTTTTAATAAATACAGTATTATATCATTAATTTTTAATCAATAACTATTTTTTTTAAAATCTAAATAATATTTTTATTTAATAATTATAATTATATTTGTTATATATATATTTATGCAATTTTTAATATTTAGAAAACATTTTGAGTATTGAGAAATTAAGTTGAGAATATTTTTATTTGTTAATTTATTGAAAATTTAATGGGAATTTAGCGGGAATTTAGTGGGAATTTAGTGGGAATTTATTGGGAATTTAATGGGAATTTAATGGGAATTTAATGGGAATTTAATGGGAATTTACTCAAATTTGGCAAAAATTGTCGTTTAAAAATGCAATAAAAAATGTTCACCCCCCTATACCCCCCCCAAGCTTTTTCGAAAATTTTGCCATTTTACCTCCCCCTATACCCCCCCCTGAAATCGAAAACCTTTAGCAACCCTGATCTATAGTAATATTACGATATACTTAAATCATTATTAAATATTTATTAAAACCAAAGTTACTGTATTAACAGTTAACAAATATTTCAATTAAAAAATGATTAAGATGAATTTATACAATTATATAGTGTACAATGTAATATATATGTAACTTTATAATATATATACAAACTGTGTATTACACAGTATATTGATTATGATTATATTTTACAATAATTTTATAATTCAGCAATTTTATAATTACTCAAAATTAAAAAAAAAACTTTTATGTTAGTTCACATTTCAATAGATTGAATGTTATAAAACTAATTTGACTTATAATATACTGTAATAGGATTCGTATTTTTATTTATTTACTTATATTGCGATTGTAAATATGATATAAAATAATAGTCTACTGTATTGTCAATGTTTTACAGTGAATTGTTTCGCGTGAGGTTTAAATAGCAAATAAAATAGCAAATAAAATAGCAAACAAAATAGCACGCTAATTGGAATATATCAATTTATTGAAACTACCAAGGTGGATTGTTATAAAGACAAAAATACACTGTTATTTAATGATATAATAAAATAACATTTAAAAATATATAATAATAATTGAATAATAATTTATTTTTGAGTTTTATTGTTAAACTTATGATTATGTTTTCAATAGTTTGAATTTGAAACTTTGAAAGTTATACAAAATGGGAAAAATAATGTCCAATAAGTTTGTAATGTAAGCTTAGAGATGCCGCTCATTAAGCAAACGTACAGTTAATGTATTGAAAGCACTAGTGTTGGTGTGTGTGTGGTATCAGTGCTTTGACTACAATATTGTAAGTGTTTTAATAGAGATAGCATTGCATTACAATAATAGTGTTGACAACCAAAACATATATTGTCTAACAATTTGACAGTTTGTCGACTTTATAACCAATTGATCAGTTGGTCAATGAGTGTACAAAATGTGGTCATTGAGTGTAATTGTCTACTGTTTGGTGGTTATGATGAACTCTGCCGACGGTAACTCACGATCGGCGCTAAACTACGATATATGTGACCAACACTTATGTGTGGGTTTGGGTTCATCACCGGCTAAGGACTGCATTGAAGACAAGTCTTGTTTGGTTCTGTTGTCCGGTAATTGAAAAACATTTTATAGTCATTTTGATGGCTAATGTTATCATTTATTTTTAGTTCATATCTATGACACCCAAGAATGGCAATCACATTATGTGTTGTCTGCTATCACCAGAACTTCCAGTGATTCCCACACTTCGAAGTATTATTCAATGGCTTTCTCGGAGGACACGACAATGGGTGACGATTTAGTGACCGATTGTTACGTGACATCTGATGGAAAACCAAGACTATCGACCAGTTATAACGTGGGAAAGTCTAATGATATGAACGAAGAGTTTCGCATTTCATTACATTCAATCAAAACGAGTCAAAACAACGGTGTGGTCACCTGTGAGTGGAAGTCTCACCGAAATCGGACACACGATGGCCGCACATTTGATCTTAAACTCAAGTATCACATACTACTGGCTGTCGGAGAACTCAACTCAGATGACGGACAAAAATCATACCATGACTTGAAACTGGCCACAAGTGAAGCGGTCAGTCTCTTACAAGTGGGTGCTATCGGCACATCTGATCCAATATATTTCATCAAAATACATGGTAAGTCTTACTATTAATTGTAGTTATCTTTTATTTGATAAATACTACAATTTTTACATTTATTTTATTGTCTAATAATATTTAATTAATTGTAAGAACTGTTACTTTTGATTTCAAGAGTATGTCTTTAATTAAAAGTTGAGTAAAAAGTATTGATTAAATTTTTGTTGTCGATATTGTTTGCTAATAACTAATTTAATGATGAAATTAATTATACAAATTAATTAGCTATAGTTTATAATAAGATATAATAAACTGTGAAATGTCAATTTGGAGGACTCAGTTACCTAAATAGTATTTATCCAAATTTGACATTTCTATTGATTAACAGCCCTGAAAACAATTCAATTTATATGACATTCATTTAATTGTGAATAAAAACAAATAATGTAATATTTATTTTTTGTTTGTTTGTTTAACTTAATTGTCTATAAATATAAGGTTTTAAATAAGATTTTATAAATAATTTTCATTTGAATTCAATAATGAGAATTTTTTTCAATTAAAATCAATATCAAACTACTGGAACTAGTAGTGTACTTAAGCTAATTATATTAAATAATATATTTATTTATTAATTATACTCTACAATATACTGTAAGCTTTGATAATACAGTATATTAAGTATCACTGACATTCATAACACAATATTTTTAAAATGTATTAATATTTAAAACAAATAATACTATTAGAAACAAAAATAAATTACTTTTAAAAATTGTAATATATATTATTATTACAGTATTATCTGTAATTTTAATTGAAATGAATTAATTTGTATATAATTTAGGTTCATTGATGGTGATTGCATGGATTGGTACGGTTAGTCTGGGTATTGTGTTTGCGAGATATTTCAAGACCACGTGGATGTCCAGTGAGTTATGTGGGGTTAAAATATGGTTTGCTGTAAGTATTTTAAATTGTATTTTATTTATACTTTTTTAACTAACAGTTTGTCAAAATAGTTTCATAGGTCTCTTATGGTTATCAGTGTTGTCCTTATGATTATCGCTCAGATATGTATTTTTTATTACGTGGGAGAGTATAGAATAGTAAGTAATGTTTGAATTGTATTTTAAATATTATTGTTTTACAATTTTATTACTTTAGATATTTTCAATATTATATTGTATTGTATATTATATGTTAATATTATAATTTTTATTTATTGACATATTTCTCAAACCCATTTTACAACTGATTTATTTTTGTTTTCTTTATATATATTATTTGTGTTAATTACTGTACTATTCAACTATTGAAAAATCTACGGTAATATTAAAGAAAATATTAGAAAAAAATAGTTTATATTATTATTTGGATACAATAAGAAAATTCAAGGATACTATTTGAGAGATATAGATAATAATAATTTTGGGATAGCTTTCAGATAATAAATAACAATTAAATTATTTTTCAATTGATTTTTAAATGTGAATTATCTTTCATATTACACAATTGTATTTTAATTTCTATGTCAAACCTGTTTTATTTATACATAGAGAAAAAATAAATATTTATTTATTAGTTAGTGAATTACTGAATTAATATTAACTTTTTGTAATACGTTATCCCATGAGTTGTTTATTTTAATATCTATTAGTCTTAACAATACAATAATAATATATCAATACTAACACCAACACAATAATCAAATTTTCCTTTACTAACGTCAATATCCTTTTTACTCGTATTTCCTTTTATTTTTCATGTTATCACTATTATCACTATCCTCTTGTATTTAGTAATAATTTAATTAATAAATTGTATTTAACATAGAATGAAATAATTTTAAAATATTATTAAATTTAAATTAACTACCGTATTCCCTTGCTTAATTCCCCATATGAAAATCATAAAAATATGAAAATTAACAGCTCATACGGTAAAAAACTCGCATTTTTACCACCCCTGGTAAATTAAACGATAGTGTGGGGAAAGCAAAAATGGGGGAATGGAGGGGAACTGCAATAACCGGTATTTAACAGTAATCTATTAAAAACTGTATATTTAGAAGACTATTACCTTTAATTAATTAATTAGTTATAATAGTGTTTACAATGAATGAGATTTGTATGTTTACAATATTTTTACATTCTATAAATCGGTAAATAAATAACATATTCAAAGGATTTGGAACGATTAGAGACGTCTAAATACAAGGGGTTATAAAACTTGAAAATTTATAAATACAGGGAATTATAAGTTAGTCACAAAATAATTTGTTCATATGGTTAAAAACTCGCATTATTAACCATGACTTACATATGTTCATACGGGAAATTAAGCAACATTTAACGGTAATACAGTATATTATTTTTAGATAAATAAATAACTATATTGAGAATTGTAAAAATATATATTTATTTAAAAGATAATAAATTTACCCAATGATAATAATTCAGACTATAATTTATTAAACATATTACAGCACATATCATTTGAAATATAATTTAAAAATTAGATCACAATAAATAAGTATCCATAATTACTATCTTATAATTAGTAAAATGACTATTAAATTAAATTAGATTATTAATGTTTATTTATATTGATATTAGTAAAGAATATTATATATAATATTATATAGGATTTCATTATTTGATAAATAATATTTTATGATATTTTTTCATAATATTTAACTGTATTTATCTACGAAACATATTTTAATATACAAAATAAATATTTTTATTGTTATTGTTTTAAATGTCATATAGAAATTTTATATTTTATTAATTTAAAAATATATAATTTATAAATTTGAATTAAACGTGTTATTAAAATTAGCGCATTTTAACGAATAATTTAGTTTACGGTAAGTTTGCTATTGTGTTATTTATATAATATTACACTAATAATCTTAATATTTACTTAATATTAAAATATTTTATATATTTTTAAAATTTATTAATTGTATTTCAAGGGTTAATATAAATAACCACCATTGAATAGCATTGAAATTAAATTTTTATATTATAAAGACAAAAAATAAAAATTACAAAATTTTAATATAATATAAATAAAATAATATTATTATTGTTAGGTCACACCTAAAGCTTATTGAATTTGTTTGCAATTTTAAGAAAATTGAATATTGATAAAAGATAAATAATATATCGTAATACTTTAGCAATAATATTTTTTCAAAAGTTCAATACAATATTTATTATTTTTAAAGGAAAATTTATGTCTAATTTGAATAGAAAATTAAATGAATACAAATAACCCATTTATATATATTATATCTTTATTTTTACTTAATAGGGTTGGCATCAGATATTTGGTTCGATAGCCTTCACACTTGCATTACTTAATCCTATCGGAGCTTTATTAAGACCACATCCCGATGCTCCTAATCGGTGGATATTTAATTGGGGTCATTGGTTTGGTGGAAATGTTGGTCATATTACTGCCATAATTGCCATATTTTTGGCCACAACTCTAAAATTAGCTGATTTACCGAAACCTTTTCTATGGACTGTCATTTCATTTGTGATTTTTTATGTCATCGTTCATCTTATTCTTCAATTTCATACATTTTTTATGCAAAATAGGAGTAATTATCAATTTATTATAAAATTTCTAGATTATTAATATTACCGAATTTTTTTATACTTATTAATATGTAAATAATTATAACATTTAGTGTAAAAACAACTTTATTTATTCAAAACAGCTTTAATTTGATATTAATTCTATAAAAAAATCTATAGATTATCATTACGTATTCATTTAGAAAGTACTGTATATCGTGTTTATTAATATTTTATAAATAGGGTATTTATTCTACTTAATTACCTGTAATCAACTTTTTACTTTAGCAAAATGAATGACTCTATACATGATTTATATATTGATATTTTAAAAATTGATTAATAATTAGCGTATTTCTAATATTTGATTAGATAATTAGATTTCTTAATTTAATTATACGTTAAATACTAATAATTATAAAACTTTGTTAATCTCAACAAAGCCTTTAATTTGGTAGAAACTCATGACATTGCAATGCAAGACATGTCCAACTCTGGTGATGACCATCCCATTGGAAGTGACGGACCGGGAAGTGGATTCAGAAGGTTTATATTAGGAATATATGGCATCGGATTATTGGCATTTGTCGTGGCATTGGTTTCGCTTATTATTTTACCCAAAGATACTCTTAATAAAATGGCAATAACTTAATAATTTTGTTATCTCTAATTATGGTACAGGAAATCTCAATAAATTGTAAAAGCATTTAATAATTCAATGCAAATGTATAATCAACGAACAATCTCATAAATTCATTAATATTTGTATTATGTATTGAAATTGTCAAAATATAACATGTTTTTAATTGTAACAAAGATTTAAAATCTTTAATAGATTTAATTTACAAGTAGTTTAGACTTAAATATTACGGTAATTATGATTTTTTATTATAATATTGCATTTAAAATGTTTACACCAAATTATATAGCAAACACTTGTGAATTTCTCATATGATTTTTGGCATAATGTAGACTTTAATGATAAACTTAACATATGTAATATTATATTTACTAATTATTAGTTTTATTTTATTTTATTTTTATTTATTATCTTTTAAGTTTACTCTATGTTGATTGTTTGTTTGGATATTTATAAAAATAACTTGAAAAGTTTATTTCAATAAAATTTTAATAACATAATTTAAAGTTAATTCGGTAATACTTTTTATATTTTCTATAAATAAATATAGAATATTTGATAAAAAAATGTATTACTGTACTAGTAATTGAAATAACAAATATAACAAATAGTTTTAAATTTATAAATTTAGTCTACAGTTGTATTCAAAACTATTTTTTAATTAAATTGTGAATTAGTTAGACTTATAACTTTTATTATACTATTATTAATTGTAAAATTTTTGATGCGTTATTATAGTTACATAAAATTTAAATAAATTTGTGCTAAATATACACTTTATTTTATGACAAATATAATTACGGTAATATTTTTGAAGTTATTGTTAGATAAAATTTATTAATTTTATACTATATATTGTAATTAATATATAGGTTTTGTTATCATTGTTTTGTCAAAGTGTTTGTAATGTCTGGTGAATGACTTGTTTGTTGGTATGATATCAATGAAGACATTTGTAATAAATGAGAAACTGCTCTCTGAATGGGAAACTTTTTGCCATCTTTTTGACAAAAACCTGTATTAATATAAATGTTTGCAACAAATTAATTAAATTTTTATAATTTACTATATATTAATATGTTATTTTTAATTTAATAATATTTTATAAATCTATAATAGTCAATAAGTAGTTTGTTATATAAAATATTGTATAATAGTTTAGCATATAGTATAACATACAATTTATAATAATTATTCATTAATATAAATATAAGACTATATGATAATTTATATAAGATTTAATTCAATTGGAGCATACAGTCTACTATAATTATGTCGATTGAAGCATTGATAATTGCAAATTATAAAAAATTACTTTAATTAAATAACATATATTTTGTTTAATAGTATATTAACTATTAAAAATGATAAATTTTAACATTTAATATTTCAAATAAAACAATCAATTATCCATTTCCGTATTAAGTCATAAAGTAGTTATAAAAATAAATCAAACCTTGAGTGTCGTCAAAATTGAGTGCAAACGTCATTATGCCTCCCATTCCTGCTTTTACAACCCATTGAGCTTTTAGTGCCGCCGACACATCGCTTTCATAGGCAACCCAATCAAAGTTTTTATAAGCGAATGGCACCTGACTATAAACATCAAACTCATGAGTAGCACCGGTAGCTAAGAAATGACAAACTGCAGTGTCTAGAATATACAACAATTATTTATCATCAGTTATTTACAATTTAAAATACAAATTTACAATTTAGTTGTCCGCTTCCCATTCCGGGACCATAAACTGGAGCATCCATGCCGTAAGATACGGGCACAGCCAGGTTATAAGAGCGACCATATGTTGGTAAACCCAAAATAATTTTATTTAATGGCATCCCTTTATTTGCCCAATAGGTTGTAGCCCATGCCTTATATAACAAATTATATGAGTATATTAATGACAATTTACAATATTTAATTTATTAGTATAATTAACAATAACTCACAGCATTTAAAGTCAAATAATATCCTTTTTCTATGGGTCGGGGATATAGTTGTGAATGATGTGCTGTATATGGACGGTCATTGCGGTACTCATTGAAATCATATGACATTAAATTGACAAAATCAACGACTCTATAAATATCCAATTAATTAATTGATATTTTTAATTTTTTTAAATATTTCAATAAATTAATTTTAAAATGATTTTTTTAATATATAAAAGCACTTACTCTGCGAGCACTGGTATATCATTTGCTGCCATTCCTATGACAAGTTGTGTTCCTATTGTTGTTGATATTATAAAATCATCGCGAAATCTGCGAACTGATTCAGCTTTTAGTTCCTATAAAATACATTACAATTATAAATACAATATATTTAGTAGAGATTGTATGTTAGTATTTAATAAATAATTTTTTTAAAAGATTAACTTTTAATAAAAATATATAATTATATTTGTTATCTTGAGTTGCAGTTATGAATTGTGTGTCTAAATGTATGTCCACCCCATCAAAGCCAAACATATCGCACATATCGAGTACCGAAGCGACAAAAATATCCCGACTTTTTTCGTTTGACACCATTCTTGACAAATACTGTGACTCTTTGTCGTCTTCAATAGATATTATAATTTTTTGATTACGATTTATTGTTTTTAGATCAGCTAATCCTCGATATCTTAAATAATAAACAAATTTATGTTTAAATATTTATAATTATTAGTAATAAAAATACAAAAAATTGTTTTATAAATATTCATACTTTTCAAGATCTTCTGTTATATTTTTGGGAACCATTATATTGTTTTGATTAACAGTTGCATAACCGATGATAATATGGGAGCAAATGAATGGATCAATGTCTTCAATCTTGAGATCTCCATTCTTGACTTTCAATAAATAATAACAAACTCTCTTAAATGTTGACCGTTTAGGTTCTGTATAATAATTTTAAAAATATAATCAAATCAAATATTTTATTAATATATAAAAATTTAAAAACTAGTATTCTTTAAACTTATTAAATTCATTGTATATAATATAAATAGAATATTTTATTGTAAACATAATTAATAATTAGTTTAATTAATAAAAATATAATTAATGCAAAACATATATTATATGATTACTATAAAGTCGTTCATCTTTTGTGTTTTCAAAATAGATGTCTTGGTTTTGTTGACTCTCTTGGCTTAGATTGGAGTCTATTTGATTGTTTTCACTAATATTTTTAATGTGATCAACAAAGTCTTTGTGGACTAAATCGGACGTTGAGTTTAAACTAATATTGTCTTTTGAATCCAATTTATGATTTAATAAGTTTTTATCAAAAGATGTCTTTTCTGTCTCTGATATTTCGGTGGCATTTGTGATCCCATCAAAAGTCTTATTATTGTCACTAATCTCGATATCATTTTTATCAAATGTTTCAGTTAATGTTGTTGTTTGTGATAAAGTTATTGCTTGAGTAGTTGTAGTAGTGGTGGTGGTGTCGGTGACAGTAGAAGTTATAGGATCACTGGTAGAAATGGTTGGTCTGGAAGTAGTTGTTTGTTGGAAATTAATTGAGATTTTGGTGTCGTTGTCGTTGTCGACTAAATTTTCATTAATGGATGCATTGTTTAACTCTAAACTATTAGATTTATTAAATGTTTTTATTGATTCTATATCTGAATCTCCAACCAAACTATTTGCTGTAACAACTGGTATAACATATTTTCGCGCACTTATCGGTGGTTTGGGTGTTATAAATGATAAGTGTATGGCTCCGGCGTGGGCTCTATTTATCACCCGATTTGGTTTGCGTGTTGTTTTTGGTGGTCTTTCAAGTATGCGTTTAGTGATCCTCACCGGATGATCCTTATCTTTGTTAACATTATTATTTGGAGCATTCATAAGAACTGGTATATGTGTTGAGGCCGAACCTCTACTCGGAGACTGCATTTGTGGTATAATAATAACTTGTTGAGGCATTGGTGGCATATTTGTCATAGAACTTTGAATCGGTACCGATTGGACAGGCATTTGATAGGAACCTATGGGTGACATGACTTGGGTCTGAGTAAGAGATGATTTGTCATTGATTTGCATTTGATTATTCTGTGATCGTTGTAAATGTTGTTGAAGTAATATCGGTGCTAACATATTGATGATTGGCATCAAATTTTGTTGATCAATATTAGGCGCTGATGTTGGTGTTGTTGATGACAGTTGAGGATCATTACCTAACTTAAAGCTAAACCTCATTGGATCGAAACGAGGAATTGCCTGATTTAGGAATGTCCTAAACATTGTTAAACTCAGGCCTTGCATCATAAGCACTGAAAATAACATTTGTAGAGGACCGGGACCAAATAATCCCAGTGTCATCTTGTTTTGGCAATCGTTGAAATATTAATGAAATATATTTATTTTAATTTCATTCAATTATTATTTAAGTTCACATTATTATTAAACATTAGATACTTTTAATTAATTCAAAACTTTAATATTTTAGTATTAAAATATATTTTCATAATTAAAAACTTATAAAATAAAATTGGTTTAAATTAATGTCTGTTGAATTCAATAATCAAATAAAACAATTTTTGTGAAATCAAAGCATTTATAGTTAGCTTCCTATTACTTTATAAACCTTTATTTTAATTATAATTTTGTTTGCATTAACTATTTGATTATAATATTTAGTTTATAATTATATTAGTCAACACATTAACAATATTTGATTTATAATATATATATGATTTATTGAAGTTTTCTTTTTATAATGCATAACTAATTTAAATAAATAAAAACAATAAGTCATTTAAAAATATTAATAACCACTAATATTAAAAGATTATAATTTTAATTATTCACGCATTATTTAAATTTATGAATTATTGATAGTTAAACGTTTAAATGGAAAAAATTTAATAAAAATTATTTTAACAAATTCATTAAATATCCCATTTGCTGCTTCACTTATTATTATAATTATAATTTTTAGTTTAATACACTAAATATTTTAATAGTTATTTAACATTTTAATACAGTAAATTATTGTATTAAATGTTAGTATACATTTTCATTTTATAAAAAATTAATGTAAAAATAAACTAATAGTTCATATATTAACATATTGATATAAACCAGGTATACTTTATTATTATTTTTATTTCTTAGGCATAAATAGTTTTGTGTATTTCCTCAAACAATTGTAATTATTAATTTTAAATTCAATAATTAAGCAAATGTAGTCATAATATATTTACTCTTTTGTTTTCAATTTATTAATGATTTGATAACTAAATTGCTTAATAAGTTTTTATCGCTAATTTTAAATAAACTATTAATAACTTAATTATTAATTTTAATCATTAGTAAATTTTACTTTTTGATAATATCTTAATAGGTTATTCGTTATAGTAATTTTTTGTATATTATCTATTTTAATGGAAAATTTAAAGTTTGCAGTATTGATATAAAAATCATAATGTAGTAATAAATTTTATTTATAATTTATTTTACAAAATAATTGTTAATACAAATAATAACAATGATAAATACAATTATTATTTAATAATTACAATATAAAATCAACAATAATAAAGTTGTATATAACAATACAAATAAACAATATTTAACAATATGTATAATATTATCTCAAAACAGTGTATAATACTGTATATACAGTATATATATTAAAACAATTTTCTAAATATATATATATATATATATATATATGAGACTTAAAGTTATGGCTAAAAGTTATGAATTACTTGTATAAAGTAATTTGACATTTGGCTTATTTAATATTTGTATATTTGGACAAAATTATTGAAATTCAGAACAATTGAACAAAATATAAATATAGTATTAGATAAATATTGTTTCAAAATTTAATATGAAAATTTTCTATTTTTCTAATGTACTAATTTATAAATAAAATAATATAATTGAATAAAATGTAATACATTTTAAATATTATATACTGTTAAAATATAATTAAAGCTGAAATATAGTCCAATTAAAAAATTATTTATGATAAAAAATTTTAAATAAATTATTAAAATTATATTTTGTTTAAAATCTAAGCAAGGTATTAATATTATTATGCATTATACAGCATGTGCATAGTAACTTCTACCGTATTAATAATTTGATCTAATTATTAATATTTTATACTATAAATAAAATGAAAATTGTTTCACAAATTATAAAATAATAATTTTTAACTATAATATTAACATTTAATTAAATATTATCAATAAAAAGGGTTGTGATAAGCAAAATATTTGCTATTAAATTGATTAATATATATTTTTAAGAATTATAAGAAAAATTTAATTATTATTTTAATTGATAAAATTATTTACATTACTATAAGTTTTATACAGTATTACATTATATTTTGTATATTGAAAATTTTATCAAAGAGAAATTTTGTATAGTAAATTTCTAGAAATTTGAAATTTATTTATCCAATACTATTATTATGAAATGCTGTATTAATAATAACATTGAGTTTAAGATTTTTGTTGAATACTGCTTAAAGAATATATATATATATCTTTTAAGAGTATAATAATTTATAATATTTCTTATATTGTATTTTAATAAAAACAAGGCTTAAATATATTGTATATGTTTGTCAATTACAAAAATTTTATAACAGGTAAACAATATCTTGTAGAAATAGTATACATAAAAATGATATATTCTTATAAATTTTAAGCAGATTAATTGTAAATTAATTACAACAACAAAAACAATTGTTAATTATTAAATTGTAAAACATCACATATCAGTAAATATAAATGAAAATAAAATAATTAAAGTATTATACTTAGAAATGTCTTTAATTATCAATAAATACTGTAACTATTTAATAATTTTTAAATTATTGTTTCTAAATTTTAAAATAAATTCTTATTTTTAATTTTTAATTATTAATACTTATAACTGTATTACTATTATCCAAAATAAATTCTAAATAATGTGCTAATAAACAAATTTTATCTAACTAACAATAATTTATAAAAAAAAAATTATTATATTTACTGTTTAATATTTATAGTGTATACAGTATTAACATTTTGATTAATTATTGAAAATGGCATTAATTGTAGTAATAATCTTGTTATTTAATCTAGTTAATTAAGCATACAATGTTTTCAAATAACTTTTGAAAGCGTTGACAAACATATGAAACATTAATATACTGTACAGTGTTTATTAATATACAGTTTATTAGTGCATTACAAAAGTTATTAATATTGTTAGTAAATTTAATCTAAAAATTAAAGTTTTAAAAAATGTCGACTAATATGAAAACATTGTATTTTTATGTTATTTATGAATTATTTAATATTTGTAAATTATTTTGTAAGTTTATAAGTTAACTTAATATTATAAATTAGAGTTAATTTGGTAATAGTTTTATAGCTTTTAAGTTATATTTTTAGATACTGATTGCTATTTTGAGCTCACCTTTTAATGAAATAAAAATTTAGCTCAAAATCATTTCTAACATAATAATTGTATATTAAAAAATTTTTCATTAGAATTCAATTACATATAAGATCTAATATTTATATTATTATTTATATAAATTAAATTATTAACTCGATTGCAATTAATGATAATCACAATCAAATAGCAAATTACGGGTAAACGTATTAATAAATTGATTAATAAATAGGAGTTATTCAATATTACATCATTTGTAAAAGTTTGTCATTTAGTAATAAGTAATATAGTCATGCCTTATATTCAAATAGTATTTAAAAGAATTTTTATATATCAATATATAATTATTTATATATTCAAATAATAAATATTTTGATTATTAATGTAATTTTGGCATTTTATAAACTAATAATTAAAATTTATTTAAATTAAAACAATAATAAAAACTAAAATTGTAAATGTTCAAAAATAATGAATACGTGAATAGTTTTTCTATAAAAATGGATTATATAACTAAATAATATTATTTAACCTTTTTTCACGTTATCATTATTTCTAAGCAATGACACAATTTGTAAAATTGTATAACTCTGCTAATATCTAACTTAAAATGTAACAATAAAAAGTAATAATAAAATATTAATCTGTGACAATCGTGTGAACAAATTTTCACAAACAACTTAATAATTTTAAATGATATTAAGTTATATATATTAATATATAAAGTATATTAACACTCAAATAGCAATATTAAATAAAACATAACATTTAGAAAAGTGTCTAAATATTATGTTACAAACGTTTTTAACTATTAGTAAATAATGGATTAATTCATTTAAGAGATGATACAGCTCTGCGGTTTGAGTGCAATCTTACGGTGTTTAATACGTGGCGATACCGTAACCAATGAATCCCTTTTGGACAGAGTCTGAGTTTGTAGTATATATTGAGTTTGCTTTTGTTGTAACAACTCTTTAAAAACTAACAAAATATTTTCATTGTTTTTGGCCGAACACTCAACAAAACCCATTTCCCAATCGATGTTTATTATTGTTTCGGCCAACTCTTTCTTAACCATACGTTTGTCCACCAAATCTATAAATTAAATATTTTATAACTTTAGTAATATCATAGAATATATTTATCAAATACAAGTTTGAAAATTAGTTTACTATTATAAATTTTATTAGGTATTAATTTTAGTGTCTATTAAATTAAAACTAAACAGTTGTTTGTTATTAGAACCGATACCTGATTTATTGCCAACTGTAACAATTGGTGGTAAATTTGTTGCCCTCTCGTCAATGATGGCATCTTTAAGTCGGGTCACCTCTTCAAACGAGTCCAAGTCATCGATTGCATAAACCAATACAAACGCATCTCCAGTACTTATGGCTAACTTTCGCATTGCTGTCAATAATTTATTTATTTATTTTTTGCAAAACATAATTTTTAATTAATTAATAATTTAATCTTAATTATACTCATAAGTTGTATATAATATATTTTAATAACATTTAACTGTAAAAGTACTATTTTACTATATGTTAAATATATATGAATAATTTTTTTACTTTATTATATTTAAGATTTAAAAGGTGATTATTAAATTAAGAGTTAAAATTACACTTTAAGATTTTTTAATATATGAAAATATTTTATTATATATAAAATTGCTTTTAGTATAGTTTATCTTTCTAATTATTTTTACAAAATATAATTTTAGTCTAAAATTATAAAATAAATGATAAATTTTTATAAAAATCAGTGTTTCAACTAACATAATAATGAATAATGTAATAAATATCGTGCGGCTAATTAGTGCTACTTTTTTTTTATCCCAATTCTATTAATTACATGTTTTAATTATAACTTATGTTTTACTTACAAAAACAAATACATTTTATTATACTATACTTAATAATTAAATGACCAAATATTTATTAACTTCTAAACAATCAATGAATTGCATAAAATATTTATAAATAAATTAATATAAATATTATGTATGCAGTATAGCATATTAAATTATCTCTACTAGTAAATAAATTTAAAAAATAATATATTATATTAGCATATATTGACCACTTAAATAACAAAACAATAAATAAAGTTTTAGTTAAACTCAAATTAATAATGAAATAAAACTGTCAATAAAACACATAAAGAAAAAATATAAAGATTTTGATATAAAAGAGATCAGATTTCAAGAATTAATTTGAATTGAGTATTAATAAGTGACATACATTTGTTGATTATATAAAAATGTTTCAAGGTGATTTTGATTTACTGTTCTAATAAAATAATAAACAAAATAACTATATTTTCATTTAACAATAGGTCAAGACTTAGTGAAATTGGTTCACTCTCTCGGAAAATATGTCACAAATATATTTAATGTCATAAACTTTATTTATATTAATTGCTATCCGTATTAGGAATTATTAAAATAACAAATGTCTGGATTATATAAAGTATAAGTCAAACATTTAATAACTACTTTATATTTCTATAGAATTGTATATATTTAGTCTATAGTCTTGAATTATATATAGTTTTATCATAATTAAAGTAAGATATAAAACAATTAAAATTTTAAGATATTGTATCAAAATGTGTGATCAACTAAATGTTGTTAAAAATGATAGAATGATTTATTGATAGATTAGTTCAATTGACTTAATTTAATCATTTCATCACTTTCTATGAAACTTGAGATTCAGTGACTTTAGAGTATATAAAATACTATAAGTAATACCTGGAAATGGATAACTGCCACTCGTGTCCAATAAGTCGAGTGTAAGCGTCATATCTGAGTCCTTAAGTTTATAATCGTTTTGATAGAGCTCTTCAATCGTTGGTTTATGTATTTCTTCAAATTTATCGGACAATAGACGTCTCACTATTGATGTTTTACCTAAGTTTTGCATTTTAATCAAATATAATAATAAATAAAAGTATGCATAAAATACTGTTTTTTTTAATGTTTTTAGTCTCTAACAATAAACATTTAATATTAAAACTATATAAAAATTAAATATATAATATTATATATAAATTAAAAATGTCAATTGATTATAGAATTGTATAAAGAATTTAATATTTTTATTAAAATAAATTATAAGCAATAGATATAACAATTATATTGATATTTAAAAATACAATATTTAAATAATAACTTTATATTGTTTTTTAAAAATCAAAAGACAACGTGAGTGTTGAGTGCACTGAACTTTCAATGACTTATATAACATATATGACAACCGTATTCATGTGATATAAAAACTATACAATCAATGTTAAGTCAATCAATAATACACTTTTTGGTTTGACTTATAATGTAAATAAATATATGACATAAAAGAATATCTAATTTATTAAAGAATGATTTTGTTAAAATTATTTATATAAAACAACAATGCTCACTTTGATATTTTATTTTATCTTGATTAAATTTTTGTGCATAAAATACATGTTAAATATTTCAAATATAATATTTCTAAATATATTAATGTGATATTATATAACTTATATATCAATAGTTGTATGCGTTTATCATATTAAAGTAAAAGTAACATACTTTACAGTGTTATACTAAACTACAGTACATAGTAAGCCAAAAACCATTGTATACAAACTAATGCTATACTGTATATGTGCTGAACTTTTGGTAGTACTATGAAAATGTGTGGGTGTTATTCAATTACTATAAAAATCGGTCACAATATAATTTATATAAATATACTATATAGTATAGTATTAAATATATATATATAAAACTAAACTAAATTTTTTGAATCTATAGTAAAATAAAATAAAATATTTATAATTAAAAATTTTAAATAATACATAATTTTATTATAAATAGTAGTTTTATATATTATAATCTATTCTTTAATTTGCAAAATGATTTTGCATTAATAAAAAGAATAATAATAATAAAATATACTTATGATGCAAATACACTGTATTAAAATGTACTTAAAAGTGTAATAATATGCACAAATTAAACTATAAATTTTTAACATCTATTAATTTCAAATCAACGATAATATATTCAGAAAAATATAATTGCAAAAAAAACAAATTATACTTATTATTGTACTGATTATGATATAATAAAGAGAAAGATATATATATATATACTATTCAATAGATAAGATGATTAAGCTTTAATATGTTGGTTATAAAATAAAAACTTTTGCAAATGTATATAAATGTTAAATTATTTTTATAATTTTAAACATTTAATAATAAGAGAAACAATTATAATTAAAGAATATTTTTCAATTTATAATTATATTTTTTTTATAATAATTTTACTAAAATAAGGTTTTAATAGTGATTATGTATAGATAAATATGTATATTTATTTTATTGTCAGTCAATATGTAAAATTTGCTTATTTTGTATAAAAATTAATACTGAAATGTTTAAGTTTATATTTTAATTTAATTATAAAAATGTCATAAATAATTTTTTATATAATATAATTTATATTATCTCTAGAAAGCATAGTTTATAAAATAAATTTATCTTATAATGAGAGCAATATTATGATAAATGTAGGGAATTTGTAGTGTAAACAAAAAAACATTACATTTGGTTTACTTTTTAATGATGTGATTAATGACTGATCAAAACACAACACTTATGATACTAACATATAATGAAGTGAATAACAGATAAATGTAATGTCACAGCAATTTATCCATAATTAATGATAAAATAAAAACTGTATCCATTGTTAAATAATGGTCAACACAAACAACAATTTTATGAAAGAGAGGAAACACTTACCGACTTTGGCTGAGCCAAGGATTACAATACGATAATGAAGTTTCAATTTGTGATCTTTTAGATCGTTTAAACCCAATGTCGATAACGACACCACTCTTGAAGACGGCATTTCTTATTTTCAGACAGTTTGCAAATTTCAATTTTAAACAATAATTTTGTATTTGTTATATTACTCTATCAATATTTATTTGTATAAATTATTTTGCTAATATTTTTTACAAAATTTCAAGAAATAAATAAAAGTTTGTAAAGATTTTGCAAAAAATAACTTATTATTAAATAATTTTTATAAGTTTTGAAAAAAAATTAACAAACATTAGTCTCAAACTAAATCTAACAAAATTGTTAAATGATGTATTTATGGTTTAAAGTAGTTTATATATATATATATATTGTAATATAAGTGATGACAACTGTCTTACTTACTCACTGTTTACTTATAACTAAAGTTATGTTACTCTAGTGAGGACAGGGATGCAATTTTTAGAGCAAAGATGTGACTGAACGCACTGAACGCATGCCCGGAAATTCATTGATATTTATTATTATCAATATTTTTATCATATTTTTTTCACTTTTTACTTCTTAACATTTATTTTCATAAACTATTGTATATTAAATTTATTGAATAATTACCGTACGATATTAGTAGTACGAAATATTTTTGTATAACTAAATAATTTTATTGTTTAAAATTATTATAATATTATTATAATTAAATGTTATTCTATCTCTATAATAATTGAAATTTTAATTTATAATTAAAAATGTAATAATTCAATTCAATTTATAATTATTAAGTTCAGTTTTATTAAATTGCAATAATATTTTAAAGTGCTATAACTAATAATTATTTTTATAAAATATAAAAAATATTGTTAAATTATGTTTTTTTGTATTTTAAGTTATATTGAAATAAAATATACCTAACAATAGACTCTTAAAACGAGTAATATATCATATTTATATTAATATTAAAAACATCATGGTTTATGTAAATAAAATAAAATAAATACAAAAACTAATAAACTATTTTTTAAATTTAATTTTTTATATCTACTAAAATATTATAATTAAAAATATTTAAAAATTTGTTTTAAATTTTTTATGAATCACTAGAATTGCTAGTAAAATAATATACTGTAAATTAAATATATAAGATATTTAAAATTGAATGAAATAAATATTTATATTTATTTTGATAAAATTATTTCATATAAGTAAACATTTTATTCAAATTAAATTATTAATTAAAATTAGTTTGCTTACTATTATGGTAATGAGAATATTTTATTTTCATAAATTGTGATATTTTATATATTAAATAATTATTTCACTTAATAAATACTATTGATCCCTCAATGATTACTAAAAATTAAACATTAAAAAAAATTTCAATACTTGATTTAGTTATAGAAATATCAAAATATTTTTTGTTTTATACAACAGAATATTCCTGAGTAAAGTACATCCAAACACATAGTTAAGGCAATGACCCTTCAATGAGAAGAATATATGATTGTATTATAGTTGGAGAGTAAGTGCGCAATGAAAATAAGTGAGAAGACACACAGAGAGAGAGAGAGAGAGAGAGAGAGAGAGAGAGAGAGAGAGAGAGAGAGAGTTGATAACACCCACGCAATTATCAGTTTTCTTTTCAACGAAAAATATCTAAATATTTGCATTAATTTTAAATTTATTTTCTTATATGCTTTATATTATTTTATTCTATATATAAATATTAAAAAATTGTACAAATTATAAAAATAAAATATATATTAATATAATGTAGCAATTATATATAAAGTATATATATATAAAGTATATATATATATATAAAGTATATATATATATATATAAAGTATATATATATTAAATATATATAACACATCTTATGCTTTGCATATTATCTAAAATTTATATAAAATTATGAAAAAAATTATTGCACTTATTAATAAAGAAAAATATATTTCTTTATTTATTCAGTTGCATCTTATTTATGCTCAATAAATATAAATTATATATAATATTGCAATTGAAAATTAATTTTAATTATTTATCAAATCTGTAATTATTAATATTAGAATTAAAAATTATTTAAACATATTTGATATGATTATTATATTGCAAATAGGTTTTCATAGATATGGTCGCAAAGTTTAATATTTACTGTATCGCTGCTCACAATATATGGGTTATTGTGTGGGTGTAGATGTCATGACATTTATATTTATCAAAGAATAGCACAAAAGATAGTTGCAGTTCAGCTAAAATATTTGTCTACCGGTTCTTAAGCTATTGCAGCTAAACATTGTGTTTTTGAAATTTAGGCAAAATTAAAAATGTTAATTATTTTAATATATTTGTTAAATACTTTTAATTTAATAAAGTAATAATTATTGCTATTTACAATGTTATTGCATATTTAATTAGGTTTATATAAAAAATAATTAATGTTTATACCGTATTAATTTATATTAATCTTAAAATTAAAATTTACATAAACAGTATTATTGTTTTAAATATGTAATAATTTTTTAAAAAACAAATGATATTTTTTGAGTTAAAACATTACAATCGGTAGGAAATATAAAAAAGCAAAGTTCTTGTTATTAAACTAAAACTTTGTATATAAAATATTTTTTTAAACTTTTAGATATTAGGGTCAATAAGTTTGATAAACGACTTTGATTTATAGCCTATTTGCTAACTTATAGATTTGAAACTTATAGCAAATAGTTTATGAATACAATATGTTTGACTTCGCATTTTGATCACATTCTTGCACTTATCAAAAATTTATCCAAAATTATTGACCAATATTTCACATTTTAAAACAATTGAATCTCATATACTGTATATTCTAAACTTAAATTATTATTACTAAGAAATAGCTTAAAAATGATGTATAAAATTATATGATGTTATGTTAAATATGTAATGACTATATCAACAATTACTTTATAAAAATATTGATAGATATGTTTTTTATATAATACATATATTTAATACTACCATAAAAAGCAAACATTATTAGACAACCATAATATAAAAATGCACTAAAATGAACTATGAGTATATTAGAAAATTACATAATATCAAGGTATTTATATACAATAGGTGTCTAATAAAGTTTGCCTTTTACTGTAGATTAGTCCAAACAGAAATAATAAATATTAAAAGTTTGAATACTTGAATACATTGAAATTATTGTATTGTTATCGTTCATACAATTTATAATTATTAGTAATATATATTAATTTTATTTTATTTAATTAATTATATTTGATTAATTCAATTCGAGAATTTGTTAAACAATTTAATTGAAGTCTACACTAGTTATTGGCAATACTAAATTTTATATAAAAATTTATTAAGATTTTTAAAGTTGATCACTAATTATAATAAAAATTGTAAGTTTAACTTTGAAATCAATTATTACTCGTATCAACGTCTAGTATTAGTCGGGAAAGTCCAGTATTAGTCGGGAAAGTCCAGTATTAGTCGGGAAAGTCCAGTATTAATCGGGAAAGTCCAGTATTAATCGGGAAAGTCCAGTATTTTGGCTCAGTGTCAAGTTCAGTGTAGGTCAGGGATAAAGTATTGTACAGTATTGATAAAAAAATGTTCAATAACTGTATAAATAATACATTTGATAATACTATTGAACGAAAATTTATATAAAATATTATTAGTTAATTATTTTTGTAGATAAATAGTTTACATTAAGTGTATTTTGCGGTACCTTATGATGACTCATCCCACGTATTGAATACAAAATAGTGCTATCAATGGTATTATTTTTTTGTAATTTTTTTATAAAAAAAAATTTGTGACAATTGTCGTAAAAGTTTGCCGGTTAGGCAACAATAATATACAGGAAATTGCATTTATTACTAAAATTTTATAATTTAAAAGAAAATTTCATTGAAATATTTATAAATAAATAAATTTAGTAATTCAGTACATTTAATGATACAATTTAATCGGGGTTAAGTAAGGGGGTAGGGGGTAAGTCCAAAATACCCCCTAAGATAGAGAAATTGGGATTTTACCAGACTTTTTGACCAAATTGGAAAAATTGTTGCTTAAAAACGAGAAGAAATGACCTTAAAATTTCGGCGCCGAATATATTATTAAATATTATTATTATCGGAGTTGTAAATCATTTAAAAAATTAATTACAGTATAGCAATAATAACTAAAATTTTATGACATATAAGTATAAACACGCAATACTTTTACATACTATTATACGTTTTTTAAAATTAATTTAATATATTTAAGTACAGTATTTAAATTTAAGTGTAAAAAGGTTTTTAATAACATTTATATAAACAAAAGTTTAACAAATGTATTGTCTTTTATACTTAAATTCTTATTATGACAAATATATTTTAAAAACTTATTTAATTGAGAAAAAGTATGTTAGAAATAAATTTTGAAATTATGATAAGTTTTTAAACTTAAATAAAATAATGATTGATAACAAAAAATATTTATTGAAACATAAGAATTTAAAAGTTTATTTTATCTAAAAGTTTTAAATTTCTTTAAAATAGAGTAAAATTATTATTTAGAGCATTGAATGGCTGTCAGTAAAGAATGCATAATAACATTATTTATTGGGTTATATTACACTGTATTTTATTGTATTACTTAAAAAGTGTATATCAATATATATATATATATATTAAAGTGTCGTATATAAATGCATGTATATATGCATTAATTTTTTGTTGACTAAATTTTTACTATTGATTTTTCTGTATATAAAGAATATAAATTTGAATGTTTGTTTCGTTTGAATTATTAAAAAAAAAACTGAGAAAGCATTGCCAGAAACAAACTTTAATGAATTAAATTATTCTGTATGACTAATAAAGTACACTTGTAGTGAATAATATGATTCTCACCAATACATATACATATACACATGTATTTCAGAAAACAAACTTTTTAAAATTTGTTTGAATATTTTTATTATTTAGTGAAAATGTTAACTTAATGTTGACATTAAACAATAATGAATTACAACAACATTATGACATACTTTGAAGACATCAAAAACTTTTCATATCATTTAATAACTATAATTAAAATGTTGTT